AGGGAAGGGAAGGGAAGGGAAGGGAAGGGAAGGGAAGGGAAGGGAAGGGAGTGTGTTACAGTACAGTTTTGAAAAATTAATGAATCTTCACATTTTTGAGGAAATATTTGACAAAAATCTGACAACATATTTTATTGGATTTTCTTATTTTCTTGTTTTAAAATGAAATCTTTACACTCAATTCAGAGAAGAAAGAAATTATAATATTGGATTTGATAGCTTAAAAACACAGTCATCACAACTTCACAGCTCTGGTATGAATCACCTGAACAATGCATCTACAGAGAGACTAAACCAATGTGCAAGACATGTACACACCGAGTAACTGACAGGCAAATATAAAACCCACTCTCATCCAGCCAAGTGTTAAGTCAAGTCAGGTTTGCTGGTTTTAAACTTCCACTTGGTTTGGTGTTGGTTTTGTTTTTATCCACCCAAGCTGTCCTCAGGAGCCCAGCAGCGAACAGTGCTCCTCTGACCAGGATGAGCATCCCTAAGGACATTGGCCTCATCCTTGGGAATGGGAGATGTCCACACAACCCCCAACTCATTTCCAGCCACAATTTGGAAAAGAGGCACTTTGGGGAGAGACAGTGGCACTCTCCTGTCTGTCAGCCTGAACAGGACAGATCAAAATGAGCTCCACACCAAAGTAAGAGAAAGAAACTGAGCAGTTGCTGCGGATGTTTGCTTCCTGGCAAGCTCATCCATGTTTGTTCCCCACTCCCTCCATGGGCCTGCCCCGGGGTGGGCACCATGCAGGGGCAAAGAAGGAGCCTGGGGGTGCCATGGAGGCCCCAGGGGCACGGGGGCACAGCTGTCACAGCACCAGCTGGGCAGAGAGCAGAGCTGGGCAGGGTGAGGGGACCTGCACAGCGGGCAGAGCTCGCCCTGAGCTACAACACCAGCAGCTGCTGAGGGCTAGAGAGAAGAAGCACATAATTGACCCCCCACCAAGGGAATACACAGAATTTTGTACAATTCTGCATGTAACACATGCTGTGGATCCCCCTCCCCAGGCTGCCAGGGGCCAGGCCTGAAAGGCCCAGGAGCCACTGAGAGGGTGCAGCCATTTTCTATAGCGCTAAGTGACCGCCGAGATTTGTGTTACACTGAACTAAAGACTACCCTGGTGTGACTCAAACTTCTACTGTAAACCTACAGAAGTAAATATATTTAGTCAGTGTACACGTTAATATTGCCACAAATAATACCAATATAACATTATTGTACTACACACATGCTTATCAGACTATGCTCTGAAGATAAGGTATTATTAAACTGGAAAGTAAACACAGATGTCAGGAGTTTTAAATTAGACTTTAAAAATTGTCAAAATAGGAAGTTGAACAACAACAACAACAGAGTCAGTGGTAATAAATTGTGATGCCATTTAGCTGAATAGCAGTGCAATATTGAGTACTACAACAATATACAGGGGGAAACACTAAAACTAAATACCACACTTCAAGGAGCAAAACAAGCACAAAAGGTGCATTTAATTATTTATTTATTTTTAAACCTCTGTAGTTCACCAGATATACGGCAAAAAAAGCTGGCAATGGCCAGTTTTTCTGGAATTGCTTCAGGAGTTTGTAATATTGGTAGTAATTTCCTTGTAAGTGTAGCCTTAATCTGTCATGTAAACAAGATAAACAGATTTAGTCTGAACTGGGCAGATGCTATACAGCTGTCAATGCACCACTTTTCTGCTTCATACTATGCTTTTATAGGGCTACTTTTTGCACAGGCAGGTAGCAATAGGACAAGAGGGAATAGTCTAAAACTAAAAGGAGAGAGATTTAGATTAAATGCTAAGGAGAAATTCTTTACTGAGAGAGTGGTCAGACACTGGGAACAGGTTGCCCAGAGCAACTGTGGATGTCCAATCCCTGGAGGTGTTCAAGGCCAGGTTGGATGGGGCTTTCAGGAACCTGGAATAGTGGAATGTGTCCCTGCCCACAGCAGGGGGGTTGGAACAAGATGATCTTTTAGGTGCCTTCCAACCAAAGCCTTTCTGTGATTCTAGAGTGTATATTATATCATTTACATGCTGAATTGGGACTGCAGATTTATTTTACCTAGTGATCCTATCCTTAGCACTGATCTTCAGAGCTAAATGCTATTGATAAATCCCTATAGTATGTTCACAGCCTGACTGGGTTAAATTAAAATTCAATCTCTTATTTCTTCAAAATTTCTCTACCTTTATACATACTTCTATGAACAAGATTTTTTTGCTCACCTTAGACAAAGTTTCCCAATAATCAGCTTTAATCAATTCTAATAAGTCAGTGATATTGTTGCAAGCAACAAAGTAATTAGAAAACCCCTAGAATTTAAATATCTGTTTGGTATTGGTACAAAGAAACAAGTTGAAATGCTCTGAAGGCTGGAAGGATACAAGCCAGCAGCTACAGAACAGGAGCTCACAAGATCTCCTGAGGATCCCCAGAAGCCAGGGGTGAGCAGAACACTGGTGAGGGATGTCAGCCTGGAGACAGAGGCTCAACATGCAGCAACCAGACAGGCTCTGAGCCCCACAGGCCAAACCGCAGAGATTGCTGCCAGGTCTTACAAGGAGGGCCACTGAGGGCTCCTTCCCATCAGGGGAAGGCAGCAGCAATACCCTCTGTTCTTCCTGTATCTCCTGACTATGAAGAAGAAAAGGGCACTCTTTGCTGCTGTTAGCCCAAACCATGCACATGCTGACCAGGCTGCCACTGCACACAAGACAGCTGCTGAGGGCACACAGAACTCATAGGTCAGCCTCTTCACTGCTGAAGATATAAATTTAAGTCTCTCCCTCTGTAACAGGGCTAGTTATAATGACACTCAAGGAAATGTAATTGTCTTTGAGATATCCACTCCTCTGCCAAATTTAATTGCAACTGATCTACACATTCTAAAGCTATTAGAAAGAGCGTGACAGACAGTGTACATAGACTGCAAAACACTTGTAAGTCTTGTTTTCATGGGTCAGCAGGAAAACCATACAATTCTGAAGGATATTTTAATATTTAATATATAATATATATAAAATAGTGTTTACCCATTCACATTCAGTTTTTATGAATACTGATATTGTTAGCTTCAAGCATTCAAAAATATCAGGCAGACCCCCATTCCTCGAAACATCCTCATTAATTAATTGGGATTATTTTTTATTGTGTCTCATGTTGATACATGCATGTAGGTTTCTTGCTTTCAACTTCTGTGGAAGTGGGATTCAAAACTTCAGAATTGCCAGAAATAAAGCTCAGAGCAGATGATCTAAATTTGAGCTTGAGAGACATTATGACCATGCACAAGAGCCAGTGACACTAATCAAGTTTAAGTGATTGTACAATGCCAGTTTAAACCACAACTTCAGCCATCAGCTTCAGACTTTTCCTATTTCTCAAAAACTGAAAAAATGGAATTGTTAGTCCCATGCATAGCAATCTTATACAACACAGCAGAAACAGAGCACAGGCCCATTCAATTATTGTGTTTATCTGAATAAACCTGCAACTGACTTAGAAAAAAAGTGAAGTATCCAATATGCCTCACAATGCACTTTTTATTCTATAAACTCAGATTGCACTATCTTGCTGCCCAGTAAAGTCTCTCAGTGTTTTAGCACATTCTAGATTATAAAACAGGGAAAAGGCATGTAAAATGGTTATACGGTTTTTTTTTGCATTCTTGTTTTCTGAAGATACACACATACTTTTATCAAACTAAGTTTAGTCTCAAAAACCAATACACCTTAGGTATTAAATAGTGATTATTCCATTCTTGAAAATGACCCAATAGTAAAAATAGAAACTTTCTTACCTTTGCAATGATTACTTCTTTTTTCAAAATCTTCATAGCATAGTATTTGCCACTAGCCTTCTCTCGGACCAGGATAACTTTGCCAAACGTGCCTTTGCCCAGTAGTTTTAAGTAATCAAAATCATTCATTGTCTATAAGGAACAAAGAACAAGGATTAGCAAGACTTAGGTTATCCAGTTCCAATACATAACCAAACCCTCTTACCGATAAAATAAAAACAGTTTTCAAAAATAGGCCCAATTCTGTGATAAAGTTTGTAATCACAGAATTGTTTAGGTTAAGAAAGACCCTTAAGATCATCCAGTCCTGCTGTTAACCAAACACTACCAAGTCTGCCACGAAACAGGTCCCTAAAGGCCACATCTACATGTCTTCTAAATAGCTACAGGGATAGTGACTCTGCCACCTCCCTGGGCAGCCTGTTTCAATGCTTGACAACTCTTTCAATGAAGAAATTTTTCCTAATATCCACTCTAAACTTCTCCTGAAGCAACTTGAGGCACTTTCTTTCATTCTTCTTACTTGGGGAAAGAGATCAATCCACCTCCTCTTGCTATACCCTCCCTTCAGGCAATGTGGAGAACAGTAAGGTCCCCTCTGAGACTCTTTCTCAAGGCTAAGCATCCCCAGCTCCCTCTGCTGCTCCTCACAAGACTTTGCCCCGGACACTTCACCAGCTCCATTGCCCCTCTCTGGATACACTACAGCATTGATCAGATCACTGAACCTTTCTCCCTGGATTATGGGGGTTTCATTCTGCTTCCCCTCCCTGTCTTCCAGTTTGGGGAGGGGCTGAGTGCCCAGACAACACTGCTCTTGCTGCTGTTCACCAAGGCAAAGAAGGCAGCTAGCTGCTGTCATTAAATCAGCAGGATAAATCATTCAGTAGTATTAATGCTCAAAAGCCACGTACTGCATACACTTTTATTTTTATAAACCACACACAGGACAAAGCCTTAGCCTAAAGCAGTGTTTCAAGAATGCACCACATTTAAGAAAGTTCATCAACTCCTGCATTACCAGGGACACACAAACATGGTGCATCAGTAGGTTTTGCATAACACCAACCACTGCACTGATGGCATTTTTAAAACATACATAATCACAACTGAAATGTTGTACCTGTAAGACTTTACAGCAGCCTTTCCATTGCATTAGACATTTTAAAATTTCAGTACAGATTATAATTACATGGTATTTACATTAATCAATCTGGCTCTGAAAAGGAGGACGTAGCAAGTTTCCATCTTTCCTGTGACTCTGTTACTGCCCTAGTTTTGCAGGTTAAACACAGTACATCCAAGAGCTGGTTCCATCCACAGACAAATCAGTCTCGTAGGTTTATCAGCTCAGCTGGCATGCCACACATAGTAAGAATATGACCAGATGATCTCAGATCCCAAAGCACTATAGCCACTTTCTGGAGTTCCAAGTTTTAGTCAATAATCCTCTTACTTTTGCAAGTTCATTTCACAGCCAGTTCAGAAGCATCAGCTCCATGGTCTATGCAGATGCAAAGATGAGGATGTATAAAAAAAAAGAGAACAATACTGAGAACACAGTGACTGCACAGGGCTGCCTTGAATTGACAGCAGAATTAACTTGGCCAATCACTGTGTGCTTCTACAGCACATCCTTCATTGTGCTGTGTTAGTGGCTTGGTTGCAGCACCACAAAACCATTTTGTTTTGAGTTTTGCAACTGGAGAAAAGGAGCGACAAATTCTGAAAGGAAATACCCTCACCTATTGTTGTTACAGCACTGGCCTGCAGCATCAATGACCTTTCTTCCTTTGTGAAAAGCACACCTCAAAACATTTTTAAAGACTAATTATACTCTGAGTCTCAGTATTGCAAAGTTAAACGTACTTAATCCTGCTTTGTGAGTGAAAAAGATCATCCCTTATCTTTCATCTTCTCAGTGCCTCTTTTTATCTCTAGTCGTGGCCTCAGGCAGTTGTGTTGAATACTGCTCTTCTGGATAAACTTATACTTGTAGTTTCCACAAGAGAATTAGTACTTTCCTTATCTCTACCAGAAATACCTCTTAACACTGCCTACATATTTCACACACATTCCAGGTGTAGAGGCATTGGTCATATCCCTGGTGTGTGACTGAAAATAGCGGCAGCAAAATAGATTCACTCGGGTGAGAGAAAAAAGGGCAAAATCACCTTCTGAAATTATTTATTCCTTTCAGCTCAAGTGCATGATAGTATTACTGTGAATCTGAATTTGCTGTTGACAAACTCTGAAAGCAATTTATGCAGTTGTTCACTGAGAGGCAGTTTGCAATGTGCTCACATACAATGCTGAAGTTCCATCAACCACATCAATGTGCAATTCCTCAGCTTTTAAGTGTTCAACCCGCAACTTCAAAGCTGCAAAAGGTCTTCAACACTGCATTTAACACCTGGATACGTGGGTGTTTCAAAGCTTCATTAAGAAGAGGGTGCTTCCCATATATCAATTCTAGCTGTATCAATAAGAATTATATCTTTTTCCCATCTAACTGTTGATTGGTAGCTCCTAAGTCAGCTAACCTTGATGCTCACACAAACATTTTGCAGTGACAGATCTTGCTTTGCTGCCCAAACCACCTCACATCAGGAGGAACAAAACTGCATTTATCCCAGCAAGAAATATGAGTAACAGAGATTTCAAAGGCTCAGTATAATTTTTACCTAAAGCAAACTCATTTTACACAACTGAATGTAAAGTTCAAGTTTATTACTACAGACAAATCCTTTAAGAATCAATTTTTCCAAAACCTGCTCTAATGTGTGATAACCTGCAATGCATGATGCAGTATGCAAAGCTGTGATCACAACATTGTGTGGCTCCTCATTTTCAATCAACTAAAGGTAAGACTTCTCAATGATCACTTTCAGTTCAGCACTTTGGGAAGTCAGGTTACCTGCTCCATGGCTCTGTGACAACCATCAAGCAGAAAACAATTGCCATTGAGCAAATGCAGTGAATATTGACAAAAACCCATGAAAAATTAAAAATGCATTCAAAACACAATTCAAGTAGAAGAAGAGTAATTCAGGGCAGAATCCTTCAGTCAGAAGCTATTGTGCTCCCTGACAAACAATGGCTGACAGCTTTATTGATAAAAAATACTGAGCTGTGACTGAGTGACTGTGAGTTGAGTGACTGTAACCTATCCCTTTACCTGTCACAAATTTATGAGATCACATGCAGCCTTAGAGGAGTAACTTCTCCAGCATTTCTGATTTTCTCTAAGACATTGGAATTAGAGAGTGACCATCAGAGTCTGAATTAAACCAGGTCAGAAAAATTGCCCTTTGCCCATACACAGAAAGAGGATCTTGGCTCAACTGATCACAGGCATGGATTTGACACTAAGGGCAGCAAGTCAGTCAAACTGAAAGACTGATTTGCCCAAAATTTGCTTACATAATGTTCAGCAAAGCAGTCATGAATCTAGATGCAAGCTCAGTGAAAACAAGTTAAAAATATATGTATATTTATAAGAGAAAGGTAATAGGTTTGCAAGATTTTGAGCCATGGCTTAACAGCACATTATGGCTGTAGTGTTAGTTCTAAGAATAAAGTCTCCTGATGCTCTCATTCCTTAGAAGCTTAGCAGAAGGCTTAGAGATGATACACAGTGCAGGGTAACTCAAAAAGTCTGCCAAAGAACACAAGACCTTGGGAGATAAAAACACAGATGCCATAGCTAGGGGTGTACTGAAAACTGGTGGAAAAATGGAAATACTTCCTAAACCTGAAGGAAGATGGTAACTTTGGAGGCTCCCATAAGATTGGATTCTTTCTCTTTCATGATTTTCCCTAGTTTTTCATTCCTAATGTACTCCAAGTTTTGAATATTTTCTTCATTACATTACTTTTAGGCTTCCTCTGAAAAATCTGTTCTTTATTCATCCTGCATCCTGCAAATCAAATTTGCAAACAAAGAAAAAGCAATGAAGCCACAGGAAACTGCACTAACCAAAAAAAACACGATCTTCAGCTTTCTATAAAACCTTTTTACTCCCCTAAGGAAATATCTGTTGACCATCTAAACACATCATCCCCTATGGATGATCTGCTCACAAAAATACACCCTAATGTAGGTATTGAAAATTCCTCCCAAAGAAACTACATTTTTTTTTTAAATTCCTGATGTGCACAATTATTAGACCATGTGGATTTTTTAATCTGATTTCCTCAGAGAAAAACTCTACTAAGAAGTAATAGCACAGCAATAAGTAAAAGTAGTTTGCTACGAATTTTGAGTATTACAAATTTTAGTGATGTGTAAAACTTGAATTGCACATTGACACCATTTTAAAAAATTGGGGAAAACAAGAGGTGCCTCTGGTTCTTCCAGCTAATCTAAGCAGGGATGTAGCTGTCATGTTTATTCAAATCAAGTTTCACATCCTAAAGGCTGTTTTCTTTTCGCTACCTTTTCAGAGAAGAACAGGCCCAACTCCTCTCTGTCTTGTCTCTTAATCTGATTATGCTCTTCTACTCATATGTATACCATCTGGTGCATGCACAAGCAAAATTCACTGGGCTTAGATGTAAAATCAGGTGACAAAACAAGCTTTTGTCAAAAAAGGACACATTGTGCAAAAATCCCTGAAAGGAAAGAAATCCAATACAAAAAAAAAATCAGTAAAAATGCATTAATTCATTATAACTGAAATGGTTCTGATTACATTAACAACTACGAAAGCTTAAACAACAGCTTTTCAGAGACATTTCTACAAAAGAGAAACAGTTTTTAAAAGACCCATTTTTCACAGTCCAATGAAGTTGGAGGCATTGGCAATTCCCTGTCATAATGGTCACTTCACATTTTTTATTTCAAAAACTTCCGAGCATCTTTCACTAACATCTTCCAACAGATAGAAATCTGCTGTGGGATTCTGAGTTTTGGCTCTATTATTTCTATTTTCTTTTCTTCTTTTTTTTTTTTTTTACTTTATTACCTTTTTATTTATCTTTTTTTCCTAGTTCTGTTATTTTGCTCTGTTATTAGATGTTGAACATCAACATTCTTCATTTCACCTTTGTTCTAGAGAGTTTGCTTTTTGCTGCCAAAGCCATTAAATATTTGCTTTTGGTTGCCAAAGCCATTAAATTTTCCATAGCCCTGCCCATACACTGTCCCAGCATATTATTGCAGCATTTCTTAAAGCACAAGTGGCAAGACAGAAACAAAACTGATCCTCCTACCCCTGTTCCCACAATCCCTTTTGCTGAATGGGAAAACACACTGCACTGTGGACAAGGAGAGCACATTCCAGATAAACTCCTTGTATCAGACAGCATTAATTTTGACACCTGGAAAACAAGTGTTGTTACGCAGTGGTTTTGTACTCCACTAAGAGGATACACAGGCTTGGAACACTGCTCAGATCTTTAACAGAGCAGCCCCAAATCCCTTCCACATAATCACACTGCCTCTCACAAGGCTGACACTTCTTAAACACTGCCTCTGCTCACTGCCACTTATATTTTACCCTGGAGCACAGTCATTAAATATCCATGCCATCAGGCTAAAGGTTTACAGTCAGCCTGACAATATATATTCAGAGCATTGTTACAGCTCTATATAATTGATTTTAACGTTTTCTATAGTAGACAAGGTTAGAAATTTGTATACAATGAAACTGCATAAAAAGAACTCTGTTTGGACAGCAAACTCAAGTTCTTAAAAATTAGGACATGATAGAACTAAAGTTACCTATGGCATCTTTTTTATATTCTCAAGGGTATAGCTCTCAGCCCTGACTTTTCTATGGTTCTTGCTTCATGTATCACAACAAACAAAACACACTCTATTAGTAAACAGAGAAATGTTCACCATTTCTTGTATTGTTCATCACTCAAAGGCATTCACTTATGTGAGCTATAAGACTGTTTTGCTCTGTTACCAGACTTATACTTAGTTTTCTACAGGTTTTACTTCTAGCTAGAAAAGGTAAAGTCAGTCTTATGTAAACTGGTTATTATTTTTTCATGCAAGTTCAGTGAATTTCTTGAGTCATGTCAACTCTGTATAGCAAATAGGGGACATGAGTTTGAGTAGTCCATACAGGACAAAATGGAGACACATGAGCAAACTTGAGTGGCATCAGATCTTTAAAACATGCTCTTGGCTGTATGTTTAACCTGCTGACTCTGGAGATGCAACCACAAGTACGTTATAGGCAGCAATGTACGTGTTCCTACTCAGACCAAAAGCTGTAAAGGACCACAGAAAAATGAAATGCTGTTTTCTTTAATTCATTGAAAACTAAAGCAAAGTTATTTCCCAAGTTAGCAAAACCCAAGGTCATTAAAAGCCAGATCCTGCTAGCCTTTCTCATGCAAATCACCTAACTTGTAATGGGTATTATTTGCATGAGAAAGGAGGCAAAAGTACTTGTCTAAAGAAAATATTTTATTACCATACTTTCTAAAATAGCAAAAAAACAAAAGGATGAAAAAATAGTCAAACAATAAGAAGAATGTTAGCATGTGTCTGAATGGCTGAACTTTGTTTTTCAGAAGTACCATATCACCTTGACCAATAAACAAAACTAGAGCAGTTCAGCTTTATTGAAATAAATAAGTACTTTGATCTTATATTATGCTGAAATTTCTGTTGAAATACTATTCCCTGCATATTGGTTTACCTGACTAGACCATTCTCAAAAGTTATTTTTTAAGGTCATTACCTTTCTTTTATGATGGGTTGTTGAAGCATCCATCTCTTCTTCTCCTATATTGTCTATCTGAGAAGTTGGACTACAGTTCATCCTCTCCTCTTCTTGCCTCTGAAGTCTGTCTGCTACAGCCTGGATTGCTTCTGTCCATTCTTCCCTATCATGAACAAGCCAACACCTCTATCAGAAACTCAAAAAATGTATTGCATAGTTCATAAAGTTTTTCACATGCTACATTGCTTCAATGTTCAATGTTCTTATGTTACACAGCAGAAGACTCATATTAAATCAATCACTTCAATTTCCTTCCAATTCTTGCATTTTCTTAAATGGGGTGAAGTTGACCAGAAAGGATCACTATATGGGTAACTTCAAGAATTAGCAGCTTCTGATTCTCTAAGTGTTAGTGGAAGCTTGAAAATACTTCTTCCAGGTATAATACACCTGTGAACACAGGATGTCATCTCTTATGCAATAGTATCTCATAATAATAACTTACTATTTTAAGAGGGGTTTTGATATTTCCCCTCCTTCAAGACATTTTCAGAAGAAAAAGAAAATAAGATTTGTTAAACCATATCATATGTTCAAGTCTTTGTCTCTCTCCTTTTAAAACTCAACTTACAGGCTTTTTCACAAATTTCCCTCAAAAAAGGCACTCAAAGATACTAAATTCCTACAAGTATCCTAAAAACCTGTGGCTGCACTGAGGGACAGGCCAGGTGATGGTTCCTGTGGAGGGACAAGCAGGGCCAGCAGAGCAGCACAGACACACCAGGCAGCCCTTGAGCAGGTCACAGCCCCACACCAAGCACGCTACCTGCTGCCTCTTGCTCAGCCAGAAAGGAATATGGGATATTTTGGTGGTATTTACTGCTGAATGCAGAGTGAGTTACTACACTGCGCAAAAAAAAGACAGGGTGGAGACATGGTACCAAGGTAGAATAAAAAAACCTCTAAGTGAAATAACAGAAAAAGCAAAGCTGTTGGTTATTTACTGATACAAGAAATGATAGCCAGAACATAGTACTGGTCTCAAAAGGACAGATGTCCACAGCAGCAAGATTCAGTGCATCTAATAGTAGACAGAGTATAGAAAATTTGAGTGCATTATCCCATATCTCCTCCATTCATTAAAAAAACTTTTTGGTGCATTAAAAAGTTAATTCTTAAGCATTTATGAATGTTTACCGAAACAAGAAAAACTAATAAGCCAACACAAAATAAATTATAATAAGCATGCTGCTTTCTGTGCCAAAAGAAAGAAGCACATTAGGAGGAGTAAGACAGCAAGGCTGGAAATATTTCAATCTAGGCTTTGGATGTTCAAAATTTAACACTTCAGAGACATATCATGACATAGTTTTGGCTTATTTGAACACACTCATCCCACCTACTTGCAGGCAACTCTTCTTACTCTAGTTATGAGCTCAGATAATATTTTATAGAAGCTGACTTAAAAATCTTTAACTAACTGCTCAGAATGTCACAGTTCCAAGTGCTGATTGCTGTGCAGGCCCAGCAAAGACTCTGCTGAGGCTTCTGCACAAGGATTGTGAAAAGGGAAACAAGAACAAAAACCTCACCGTTCCTCTGGAGTGTCTACATGGAACGTCCTCTCTATGACCGTGGTCCACTGAAGACATCTGATAATGAATGTGTTCGGCTTTGGTCGCTCTGTTTTCATTAGCTGACATTCTAGACAAATACATGACATTGCCTTTTTTATATATTGCCAGTTAACAGATGAAAAGCAAACAAAACCACTTAGATGAAATTCATTCAGCATATACATCCTCATCCAGAATCTATCCAGCACACAGAGAAATACAGAACAGCAATATAACCACAGGTTTGAACAAAAGGTAATAGGTAACAATAAAGCAGGTGAAGAAAGAAGTCAGAGGAATTCATGGAATTTGTATCATTGTCCATATAAAAGTGCCATCTCCATTTGTTAACTTGGTCTGTGTTATGAGGCTAAGAAGAATATTAGATCCTGGATTGCTATAGCATGCCAAGGAAACAGCAGTAGCCACTGGCATATTTTTCCATCTGCACCCAGCAGGAGGAATATGACATTTTCCCTTCAATGGTAACATGTCACAATTACTGATAGTACTGTCACTTCAGGGTAAGGTTTATTATAAAATAGCCTAAGAAAATTCAGATGTTTAAATTAGTCTGATTATTAAATATAGAACAACCCCACATACACCACCAGTGGGGCTGCCCCAGGAAATAATCTAATTCTCTTTGTGCCCTAGGGCAGAATCAGATCTACCTATGCTATTTCTCCTAAGTATTTCTCTACACCCTTTCTAAAATCCACAAAAAGTACTAATTTCAAAACTCTTGTGAGCAAACTAGTCCATCCTACTATAAATAAATTAACTATTTTTATTGCTGTAAGATTTTTCCTAGGATTTAATGCAACTCTTCCTATAATTTCAGCATACTGTTTCTTGCCCTTTTGACTAAATTCATCTTTCCAGCAGCCATCCCTTTTAGACATTTGAACACTGCTTTATCTCTTTTCAGTCTTCTTTAAGTCAGTTCAATCCATGTGTCCCTCACCAGCTGTGCTTTCAGATCCCAGATCTTCCTTGTTCCACAACTCCAGACATATTTCAGACCACCCATTACTCCTCTGTGGCAGGACCACACTGGTGATTCAGGCAATGGTTCAGCGTTGCTGTGTATCAGTTCTACGATGCTGCACCAAACATTACAGCTGCAAAACTCTGACAAACTAAAACTCCTTATTCATGCAAATACATTTAAACATTTTTGAGAAGCTGAGGTTACTCTGTCAAAAGTGTTACTCGTTTTCCTGCAGCTACCACAGCGTAGACACAAACCATCACATCTCATGTCTGGAATATTATCACTTGTTCAAAGCCGATCCAGATCAAATATGTGTGTGTGATCGAAAATGATTCATCAGGTTCACAAATCAATCAATAACGATATGGTAAATGAATTCCTGTTCACCTACAATCTGCTGTAACTTCTTTTTGATATAGTTACCACCTACCAGTTGACCCACACCTTTTACTTCTGCAGCTTACTATTCTTTATTCCAGTTAATGTCAACGTTTTGCAGAAGTCATATGACATGTACCACTTAACAAGGCATGCTTTCCTTTTACAGAAATAAATTATTTTGGCTTGACATATTTTCTCTTGACAAATTCAGGATCCTGAAACCTCAACTATCATCTACTGCAATTTTTTTATTTGAAAAAACAAAGAAGTGTGGAAGTGGATATATCTATCAATAGTATTTTTTTCTGCAGCTTAGCAGAACACCTCAGAAGCTTCACAGACACAGGTATGAGAAACAAAAGGAGTGAATATTGTCCTGTGCACATGTGTATTCCTTGATGAACAAACATATATATTCATCATACACCTATAAATTATTATGTAAGTCAGACTGCTCACTGTCAGGAACAGATGACATTCCATTTAACAAACATTTCATTAAAAATGAGAAACAGCAGTTCACCCTCATTGCTTACACACACTCTGCTAGGTCTTGGATGAAATGAGAACCATCCTCAACATGGAGAAGAAAGATCTACAGCAGGATGGACACAGGAAGAGGGAGTTTAACACACAAGTTGGAAGGGAAACAAGGCAGATAGAAGCATGATAAGAGTAGAGTTGTTTAGGGTACCTAACCAGGGTTGTAGCCCAGTGCAATTATCCATGGGATCAAAGAAACCCCCAACCCCAGGGGTATGGTTGAAGTCCAGCTACAATCACAGAGACAGTGAAGGAAAGGTTAACAGGCTTTTTTTTAACTCCCTCAGCTGAAATTCCAAGGAACATGTGGGGCTACCTTCCTAGCAGAAGAGACTAGAAGCATTGTCTGCTCTAAGATTATCTCATCTTACTCCTGACAAAACCATCCTCTCATCTTTAATCCTATCACACTTCAATCATGTAGGCTGAAATTTTCTTTACTGGGTGTCTGCCTAAAGCTGCACACTGCTGGAAAATGCTGCTTTTGGAGAAGAGACTTAAAACTTGGCAAATCAAGACCTTTGATATCCTTTTAGTATTCCTGTGAAAATGAAAGGCATCTGGCCACACTACATGTGGGAGGGATAAGAGTGCAGTGGGAGGAGGGTAAAAAATTACAGTAACAATTACTAAAGCATAAAATCATTGAAAAGTCTAGGCATTGAGATAATCCAGAGACTACAGCTATCTACTGCCTCTCCACATGCTAAATTGAAAGCATTTCACTTATATTCGTAATGCTTTACCCTCTTCTTCAGACAGTATGACAAAGAATGTACTTCACTGAGGCAAAATCCAATGGAGAAAGATGGCATACAGCAAGCTATTTACAGGAGAGCTGTTATGAACAAAAGATGAGGGAATAAAGGGAGGAAAGTGGTAATAGGACAAGAAAAAGGCTGGAATCTATATGAGAAAGAAAAGTATGGGGATAGTTAGAATATAGCCAAACTGGATTACCTAGTTTAGAGAAAGGAAGGTGGAAAAAGTTGCCAGGGAGAAACATGAGCTGACTGTGTTAGGACAGTCTGAAGGAAAAAAGGTGCAGAGACAAACCTGCATAAAAATCTGTACCAATCAAAAAGCACATTGTCTCCAAAGCCTCTGATGGAACTGAAGGTTTTGAATTCCACCATTTATTTTCTCTTTGTCAATATAGACAAATATGCATACATTTAAATTGTGTTATTTAAGTTTTCCAACTCATGTATGAAAAAAATGGAACTAATAGAATTACATCTGCTTATGACCAAATGCTATTTATAATATGGTCTTCACCTATATATGCATAAAATATAATATATATAGTATAGTATATGTAATATATAGCTATATATTATAGTTATAGTATATTATATACAGTTTATAATATATATTATATAATAGATATATAGTATATATAATATACTATAGAAAGTAATAAATATAGACATTGGTATGCACTTTAAGTAAATCTGTATCTAATATACTACTTATATTACATTTTTTAAGTCAACCCTCAAAGTGATTATGCACATTATTAACAAGAACAAAATAATTATTAACATTATAAATAATAATAAAATATTTTTACAAAAAAAATTATTCTGATTTTTCATTACAGATGATTAATTAAATCAATGAAAGGTACTAAAAAACCTTAAGAATTGAAAATGGTACTGAAAACAAAAAAACCTCCAGACAAATAGCCCCCAAGAATGCCATTGCACTATCACTGGAGGAAATTATTGGAAAATAAAATTTAGGAAAATCTAATTAGTTTTGGTAATATTCCATTATGAGTGGCTAAAGATTTGATTTCCTCGTAGAAGGTTAAGATTGAATACATTCCTATCCATCCCTTATGAAGCAAAAAGGGTTTCAGAAAGAAGTGGAGAACCAGAGTATTCCCAAAAGAGGTGTGCTACCCATTCTTCTCAAGTAGGTAAAAATAACTTCAGCCTGCTGATATTTAGTAGCCCCACATGCTTCATGTGCTGCTGTACACAAATGTATGAGCTGAACACTATTCCTGCCCTGACTGCAACATGAATAAAAATTCATGTGTGAATATGTTTCACCTACTACTAGAGGAAAGAAATCTATTAAGATGAATAAGTGCTGTAATACACAGTTACTGCTAATTATCAAAATATTTTTCTACTAATTAGTGGAAAAAGCATAGTAGTTTAAGACTGAGTGAATAGTTTGGAAAATACAAAAGCACAGAAGAAAGAGTGAAACTGGCTACTGAGAGCTGGCTCCGAATGCTCGAGTGATAGTTGGGTCATTACCAAGAGGAGAGAACATTCTACCATAATGTCTTCAAGTTTGCTACTACACATAAACATATGTAATTAAAGGACTGAATCTCAACTCAAAACAGTTGGAAGTCTAAATTATCATTCAAAAAGATGAGTAAGCCAGTAAACAGACAGACTCAACTTTGTGTTCTTGTATGCTAGCCATCTACAACTTGGAATTACACATTTTATTCCTAAGGCTTTCTGTCTTCCTGGGATGAAACCTCGGTCATGAGAACTTTTCCTTTAATATTAGAGGGGAGGAAATACCTTGGGGGAGAACACTTGTTCAAAACAGCAAAATACAAAAACAGTAAAACAGGGAATGACAACTCTGTTCCAACAAGTGCATTTTTCTCCTTTGGCCATTTTTGGATGTTTACCGAAAATGGAAAAAAAAATTAAATCAGAACAGTAAAAAGAAATGCAATGGATGTTTCTCAATTATTGAAATTATCCTTTTGAAAAACAAAACAAAGTCAGGTACATACCAGATGTTAACTTTTATCTTCATATCAACAACCAACCTGACAATTCTAAAATGCTAGACTATCTTTTTCAAATAACTGCTACTGTCTAAATTAAGTAGTTATGCTAGTTAAACTCTCCTGAGCAACTCTAACTACAAACTGTATTTCAAAACGTTCTGTTTACTTTACACCATTCTGAACCACAGATGACAAAGTTTGCTTGAAGCTGTAATTACTCTGCAAAGCTGGGAAGCCAATTAGAGGGCCTGAAACCTGCCAGTTCCAAAAAAAAAAAAAAAAAAGCACAGATCATCTGTTCAGATTTTATTAAAAAGTTTAAAGTTTGAATTCTATAACTTTAACTGTATAATCACCAGCATTCTTTTCCTAAATGCAGTCATTCAGCATTAAAAAA